CATTCAAAGGAATCCAATGCATCAGGGAAGGGCAGACAATAACCAGTGGCAAATTTTTAAAGTGCTTGTCCACAAATGCTAGGAGTCTGACTAATAAGATGGGTGAACTAGAGTACCTCGTATTAAATGAGGAGATTGACATAATAGGCATCAGTGAAACCTGGTGGAATGAGGAAAATCTGTGGGACACAATCATACCGGGATATAAAATATATAGAAAGGATAGAGCAGGCCGGGTGGGTGGCGGAGTGGCGCTGTATGTGAAAGATAATGTAGAATCAAATGAAATAAAAATATTAAGTGAATCAACATGTTCCATAGAATTGCTATGGATAGTAATTCCATGCTCCAATAATAAGAAATTAGCAGTAGGGATATATTACCGACCACCTGACCAGGACAGCGATACTGACATAGAAATGCTGAGGGAGATTAGAGAGGCTACCAAAATAGAGAACTCTATAATAATGGGGGGTTTTAATTACCCCCATATTGACTGGATACATGTCACCTCAGGAAGAGAAGCGGAGATAAAATTTCTCAATGGCTTAAATGACTGCTTCTTGGAGCAGCTAGTGCAGGAACCCACAAGGGGAGAGGCAATTCTCGATTTAGTCCTGAGTGGAGTGCAGGATCAGGTCCAGGATATAACCGTTACAGGACCGCTTGGGAATAGTGACCATAATATAATAACATTCAACATTCCTGTGGTGGGAAGAACACCTCAGCAGTCCAGCACCCTGGCATTTAATTTCAAAAAGGGGAATTACACAAAAATGAGGAGGTTAGTTAAACAGAAATTAAAAGGCACAGTGACTAGAGCCAAATCCCTGAAAGCTGCATGGAAACTTTTTAAAGACACCATAATAGAGGCCCAACTTAAATGTATACCCCAAATTAAAAAACATAGCAAGAGACCTAAAAAAGAGTCACCGTGGCTTAACCACCATGTAAAAGAAGCAGTGAGGGACAAAAAGGTATCTTTTAAGAAGTGGAAGTCCAATCCTAGTGAGATAAATAGAAAGGAACATAAACACTGTCAAATCAAGTGTAAAAATGTAATAAGAAAAGCGAAAAAAGATTTTGAGGAACAGCTAGCCAAAAAGTCAAAAAGAAATAACAAAATGTTTTTTAAGTACATTAGAAGCAGGAAGCCTGCTAAAAGACCTGTGATCGAGCTATAAAAGGAGCAATCAAGGACGATAAAGCCATTGCGGAGAAACTAAATGATTTCTTTGCTTCAGTCTTCACGGCTGAGGACGTTGGGGAGATTCCTGAATCTGCACCGTCCTTTGTGGGTGATGAATCTGAGGAACTGTCCCGGATTGAAGTGTCATTAGAGGAGGTTTTGGAACAAATAGAAAAACTTAATGTTAACAAATCTCCGGGACCGGATGGCATTCATCCAAGGGTTCTAAAAGAACTTAAATGGGAAATTGCTGAGCTATTATCTGTGGATTTTAACCTATCCTTTAAATCAGCTTCTGTACCTAATGACTGGAAGGTAGCCAACGTGACACCAATATTTAAAAAGGGGCGATCCTGGCAATTACAGACCGGTAAGTCTAACTTCAGTACCGGGCAAATTAGTCGAAACAATAGTAAAGAATAAAATTGTGAAGCATGTAGAAGAACATAATTTGTTGGACAAAAGTCAACATGGTTTCTGTAAAGGGAAATCCTGTCTTACTAATCTATTAGAGTTCTTTGAAGGGGTTAACAAACATGCGGACAAGGGGGATCCAGTAGATATAGTATACTTGGATTTTCAGAAAGCCTTTGACAAGGTCCCTCACCAAAGGCTCTTGTGTAAATTACATGGCCATGGGATAAGAGGGAAGGTCCTTTCTTGGATTGAGAACTGGTTAAAAGACAGGAAACAAAGGGTAGGAATAAATGGTAAATTTTCAGATTGGAGAGGGGTAACTAGTGGTGTACCCCAAGGGTCAGTCCTGGGACCAATCCTTTTCAACTTATTCATAAATGATCTGGAGAAAGGGGTAAGCAGTGAGGTAGTAAAGTTTGCAGATGATACCAAACTGTTTAGGATAGTCAAGACAGAAGCAGACTGTGAGGGACTCCAAGAAGATCTCACCAAACTGAGTGATTGGGCAACAAAATGGCAAATGAAATTTAATGTGGATAAGTGTAAAGTAATGCACATCGGGAAAAATAACCCCAACTATACGTACAGTATGATGGGGGCTAATTTGGCTACGACAAATCAGGAAAGAGATCTTGGAGTTATCGTGGACAGTTCTCTGAAAACTTCCACACAGAGTGCAGCGGCGGTCAAAAAGGCAAATAGGATGCTAGGAATTATTAGGAAAGGGATAGAAAATAAGACCCAGAATATCTTACTGCCCCTGTATAAAACTATGGTACGCCCACATCTTGAATACTGTGTACAGATGTGGTCTCCTCACCTCAAAAAAGATATTTTGGCCTTGGAAAGGGTTCAGAAAAGGGCAACTAAAATGATTAGGGGTTTGGAACGGGTCCCATATGAGGAGAGGTTAAAGCGACTGGGACTTTTCAGTTTAGAAAAGAGGAGACTGAGGGGGGATATGATAGAGGTCTATAAAATCATGAGTGGTGTGGAGAGGGCTGATAAAGAAAAGTTATTTATTAGTTCCCATAATAGAAGAACTAGAGGACACCAAATGAAATTAATGGGTAGCAGGTTTAAAACTAATAAAAGGAAGTTCTTCTTCACACAGCGTGTTGTCAACCTGTGGAACTCCTTGCCAGAGGAGGCTGTGAAGGCTAGGACTATAATAGAGTTTAAAGAGAAGCTGGATAAATTCATGGAGGTTAGGTCCATAAAAGGCAATAGCCAGGGGATAAAATGGTGTCCTTGGCCTCTGTTTGTCAAGAGAGGGATGGCAGGAGACAAATCGCTTGATCATTGTCTTCGGTCCACCCTCTCTGGGGCAGCTGGTGCTGGCCACTGTTGGTAGACAGGATACTGGGCTAGATGGACCTTTGGTCTGACCCAGTACAGCCGTTCTTATGTTCTTATGAGGACATGCAACCCTCCCCTGGCTGTACCTGCTGGAGCTGCATCAGCCATGGAGAGGGACTTCTCACCTGGCTGCAGCAGTTAGAGAGGGCTCTGGAGTTGTCCTCTCTCTACAGGGCAGCCTGCATCCTGAAACTCCTCCTTCCCAGCCCCAGTGCAGAGCGATGATTTACATGAAAAAACACCCCAAAATTAATTGAGTTTAGGACCCTAGCAATGTTGGGTAAATCTTCAAGTGCAATATATTTGCTTCTATCTAAACAAGCAGATGCATAGACCTTTCTGTCCAGGGAAAACATCCATAGATACAAGGTTTTGAAATTCAATGGAAAGGTCATTTAGTGTCCAACATGCAGCTATACCTATTAAAAAACATGATCAGTGATCATTTTAATGTCCCAGACCAATTAACATTACACAGTCTGGAAGAAACAGCTAGTTCTTTTAGGATCTAACTGCAGTGATCAGGTAACTTATCTGAGCGTATGTCTCAGATAAGACAGCTTGAAGTGAATTCTTGTCCTTGTTGCATTGATGTAATTCCTTTTGCTTTGAGATCTGTCTTTGATTGATGAATTACTCTGAATCTATGAGTGGTTCTTTTTATCCAGGGCACTTAAGAGTAACTGAAAGCAAAGGGTGATTATATAGCTCTGTATGGTTACATCATACAGGGTGGGGTGAGAGATTTTTAAACAACAAATGCAAATAGCAAAATCCTGCACAAACACAAATGAAAATAAGTAATAAAAATTGGTGCTGGATGCTGGCAATTACTCACCCTTTCGCTTGAGAGATGCAGGATGCTTTTGGGGAGGCGTAGGTCTCAATAGCATGTGCCAAGCTGACTCCTCTCAGGCTATATAGCAGTAGGTGGGGTATATTCATGTCCAAATATGGCAAATTATTTATCTCTGAGAGAACAGCCTGACAACATCCTCTGTTCCTCTCCCATTCTCACCGTCAGGGTCTGACTTGCCTCCCGTTAACTGTTCCATTTTCCTGCATGCATGAGAGGTGAGCTGATCTGTGCAGTGTGTATGTGAACTGCAAGCTCTCTTGGGACAAAGCTTTTTGTAGAGGGTTGAGCACACTGAGGTTCAGTGTTATTTGTATTGAAGTACAAATAATAGCTGGACTTGGAGCTGCATCTGAACTTGGCAAAACTTTTAGGGAAATGGGGATATGTCCAAATTCAGGATCATGCCTAAAAACTGGCTCAGCTACTGTGATGGTTAGAGCCATATAAACCCTTAAGACTCAGAGGGATAACCATGTTTGTCTGTAACTTTAAAAAACTTAAAAAACAAGGAGTGCTCTTGTAGCACCTTGGGGTATGTCTACACTACAGAGTTAATTCGAAATAACAGCAGTTATTTCAAATTAACTGTAATAGCTGTCTACACAAACAAACCGCTATTTTGAAATAAATTTGAAATAGCAGAACCCTTATTTCTAATTAGGTAAACCTCATTCTATGAGGAATAACACCTAATTCGAAATAGCTAATTTGAAATAAGTGCTGTGTAGACACTTAATTCGAAATAGGAAGCTTCCAGCCCTTCCCAGGGAGCCCTGGTGGCCACTCTGGGCACCACCAGGAAAACTTACTCTCCTCTCCCCCAGCCCCGGCGCCATTAAAGGGGTAGACCCTGGCCACAGTGCCTGTGCCAGCTCCAAGCCTGCCAGCCTGGAGCCAGCAGTGGCCACCAGGGCCCCTGATCCAGTGGCCCCAAAACATGAGCCAACAAGCCACTGGCAGCCAACCCTCCACCGCTCCCCAGGAGCAGTCTGCCAGCTCCCAGGAAAAAACAACCAAAAAAGCCACTGGCAGCCAACCCTCCACCGCTCCCCAGGAGCAGTCTGCCAGCTCCCAGGAGCCTGGCAGGGGTTGGAGAAGGCGGGCGCCTTCCTTGTCCAAGGTGGAGGTCATGGACCTTATTCAGGTTTGGGGGGGATGCCCCCAACGTCCATGATCTCAGCCCTAGATGGAGGAACACGCCCATCTATGGCAGGATAGCTGCCAGCCTGGCCACCAAAGGCCACATGCGAACCCAGGAGCAGGTTTGCATAAAAGTCAGTGAGATCCCCAACCGTGAGCCTTGAGCTTCCCCTCCCCCTTCTTCCCCTTACTTCCCCCTTCCAGCTCCTTCCTCCCAGGTTTCCCCTCCCCTCTCCTACCCTCTCCGACCTCCCTTTCCCAGTCTCCCCAGAGGCTCATCCCCCACCCCCAGTTTTGATCAATAAACCCAGTTTCTATTTTTGAACATACGTGTCTTTTATTTGACATCAGGAAGGGGGGCTAGGGAGGGGCAAGTGGAAGGACATGAGGGAGAAATGGAGCACGAGCCCCCAGTGAGGAGGACCGGGGAGGCTCTGAGGGCTCCTTGTGGTGGACGCACTCCCTCAGGGCCTCCTGGATCCAGACAGCCCCCTGATAGACCCCCCAGATGGCAGCCTGCAGCAAGTGCAGTCGCTGACGGCACTGACCCCACAAAACGCACTGGTGTGCCCAGGGGTAGCTCTGGCTCCATGTGGCCGAGTGCTGTGGTGTCTCGAGTGTGGGCACTCAGGGCGTTCCAAGCCAGGACTGCTTTGCTGTCCCTCATCGAGGTAGACAAGCAAGCGAGGAAGGTGTGTTGGGGGGGGGTGGATGGATGGGTGTGTGCGTGTGTTGGGGGTGGGTGGATGGATGTGTGCGTTTGTTGGGGGGATGGATGGATGGATGTGTGCGTGTGTTGGGGGAGATGGATAGATGGATGTGTGCGTGTGTTGGGGGTGGGTGGATGGATGGATGTGTGCGTGTGTTGGGGTGTGTGGATGGATGTATAGATGTGTTATTTTGAATTAGCTATTTACGTTAATTCGAAATAATTCTGCTGTACAGAACTAATTCGAACTAACTTAATTCAAATTAGTTAATTTGAAATAAGCTAATTCGAATTAGTGTATCTAGACCTAAAAACTAATTCAAATTAGCGTTTTGCTAATTCAAAATAGCATGTCCACATTGAGTGGATCCTGAACAGAAGTTAAGGCTGGGAGTGCCGGCAGGGCATCAGGTTAGGACTTAGAGTGTGGAGCTGATGCCTCAGGCTAGGCGAGGGCTGTGCTTAAAGGGACCCGACCCCCACCCCGGACAGACAGTTCTCAGGGTTCCCCGCTTGCTTGTCTAACTCAATGAGGGACAGCAAAGCAGTCCGGTCTTGGAGTGCCCTGAGTGCCCACACTCGGCACGTCCCAGCACTCGGCCATCCGGGGGGAGTCAATCGGGGGGCTGTCAGGATCCAGGAGGCCCTGCGGGAGAGCTTCCACCCCGAAGAGCCACCCCAGTCCTCCCAATCGGGGCTCGTACCCCATTCCTCCCTCACCTCCTTCCACTTATCCCTCCCTAGCCCCTCTTCCTGATGTACAAAATAAAGGACACGTGTGTTCAAAAATAGAAACTCTCTTTATTTAACAAAACTG